CCGGCGCGTAGGGCTGACAACCATGCCGCCATCTATGAGCCGATTGTCTAGACAATGTGGGAACCTCATCTCACAACCGTATGGGCCTTTACGGCCTGTTACAAGGATATCTTTACTTTCTCTACTTTTAATAGTATAACACCGAGTGAAATGGGAATAGGTTTTTTGTGATCTTTCGGAACAAGCTTCTTTTTACGGTGAGAAGTTGTTAGCCCAACGCCCAACCCCCAGCTGGAGGACCACCCCTTCTCAGTTGTCCGCGACTGGTTATTCAATATATTTGCAGATACCCTCCGTATATGGAGGCCGTCTCCTCCGTCCGCAAAAATACGTAAAGATTAGAATATACAAAACTATAATTTGCTGTGCCGGTCACGGTAGCCGAGCGGTCTAAGGCATGCACTGTCTTCGCTCGCTCGGAAGCCGGGATCGTGGGTTCGAATCCCACTCAGGGCATGGATATTTGTGTGCGTTTTTCTGTGTTTCTCTACAGGTAGAGGCCTTGCGACGAGCTGATCACTCGCCAAGGAGTCCTACCGTATGTGTAAAATCTAGTAAACCGAAGTGAAACGGAGAGCTTCATGGAGGTAGGCCTAGTACCAAATGAAAAAAAAAAAAATTGCTGTGGTTCTGTGTTGGTGCGAAACTTGGTCTCTCTCTCTCTCTGACATTAAGGGAGGGACACAGACTGAGGGTGTTTGAAAATCAGGGTGCTGAGGAGAATATTTGGACCGAGGAGAGACGAGGAGACGGGAGGTTGGAGAAAACTGCATAATGAGGAGCTTCATAGCTTGTACTGTTCTCCAAGTATAACTAAAATGATCGACTCAAGGATGATGAGATGGGCAGGGCATGTAGCACGAATGCGGAGAAGCGGAATGCATATAGGATATTGGTGGGAAAACCATAAGAAAAGAGACCACTAGGAAGACCAAGATGTAGGTGGGTGGACAATATTAAAATGGATCTTGGATAGAATGGTGTGGTATCGCCTGGATCGATCTGACTCAGGGTAGGAACCAGTGGAGGGCTCTTGTGAACACGGTAATGAACCTTCTGGTTCCATAAAATGCTGGTAAGGGCTCAGCTCCATGAATGATTGAATGAAATTGGGAAAATGGTCACTAAGTGTGAGCAAGTAAGAATGGAAGCAGACGCTCGTCGTCCGAAAGTATTGTAACGTGTTTATTATTAAAATTTCCATTTTCCGCTATATGCCTTCGTGTAATCAGATAGGCATCAACGTTTCGGAGGAGGCTGCTGCCTGCATCTTCACGGCATAAGAAGCATTTCTTCCGTGAAGAGCAAGAGCATAGTTCCTCCGAAACGTTGGTCTATCAGAATCCACTGCGTCACATCCCACAGGACCATAATTTCAATGTTTTTCGTGAAAATCCCAAATCTTCTGTTATCCTAATATTCCCATGGAGGGACTGGTAAAACCAGCAATACATCTTAGGATAGGTAGCCAATAGGCCCGTCGAGATTCAAACCGGACTCCTCCCAAATGAAATTGGTCTTTCCTGTTTAGTAAATAGGAAAAAAAGAGTATGCGAGAGACGAATGGAGAAGCCCTTGTTATGATCTGGAATTTGTGGGGATTTCTCAGCCAGCCAGTACCATAATCCTTCTTCGCGAACTATTGGCCTGAGGCCTTCGGAAAGGTTTGTATTTTGAGTTAAATTTACGTTCCATATTTCAATATACGAGTACTTAGCTTCTAAGTCAAACCTCTCCTTAGGAAACGACCATTAACATTTTATTGTTCAGTTACACTGATGAAGCTGCAATCTCAGACATCGGCGTCTGACTGACGGATGGGGAAATGTGGGAAATATATGACGGTTCTTTAACCTTCTTGTACGAGTAATTATTAGTTAAATTGACCGCGCCTTATAGAAACTCGATTTTAAATCGTTACATATCGGCGTAATAGGTAAAGTTGTCCCTGTGCTTAATTAATTAAGTACTAGGCCATGAAGGCTTATGGGATAGGGGATGTATAGATCCACGTTTTATTGTCCTCTGCACTAGTTGGAGTTGAGTAATCGGCTTCACGCCCCAACCGCTTTACCCCGGGGAAAGCCCCGGTACACATTGGATAAGAAACTGGGTGGGCCCCAGAGCCGATCTGGACGACACGGAGAAGAGATAATTCTCGACGCTACGGGTGCTCGAATTCAGACCCCTCCGCCGTCCAGTCCGTAGCCAGTTTCTATGCCGACTGCGCTATCCCGGCCCTTTACATATCGGTGTACTGGCTAATAAATAGCACACAAAGGCGGCATGTCTTGTGTGAAGCCAGAGACATGAAGGTAGGAAATAGTGACCTGTAGTCGGACCAGGGTGGTTCAGGATGGCGCCCTGGTGATTCTTTTTAGTGCCGAGGCTCCACTCGGGCATTTCTTTTGAAAACCCCGATCTGGAGTTCTTGTAAAAGGTAAAGGTAAAGTTGTCTCTGAGCTTAACTAATTAAGCACTACGCCATGAAGACGTATGGGGGAGCGGATGTATAGATCCATATTTTCTTGACCTCGGCACTAGTTGGAGGTGAGCTTCACGCCCCTGCCGCTTTACCCCCGGGGAAGGAGCCCCCGGTACGCATTGGATAGGAGACCGGGTGGGCCCCAGTGCCGGTCTGAACGACGCGGAAAAGAGAAAATTATTGACCCCACCGATACTCGAACCCCGACCCCTCTCTCGACCAGCCCATTGCCAGTCACTATACCGACTACGACATCCCGGCACCCCAGAGTTTTTCTAGCTTGTTGAATTTCCGATCTGTGAGGTGGGGGCGTCGGCTTCGTTCAGTATCTGCTTTCCATGGTCTGTTTGCTTTTCAATTCTGCATTTGCAGCCATGAAAACTATCCTTCAGTGAGGAGAATGGCTTTGTTTATGCCTGTTTCTTTCAACCTGGAACTACATGCCAGACAGGCCTGGCACTTTTTTTTTCAGGACTGCACTCTGGTAATAGAGGACAGTTTCTTCTATGGCCGAAAGTGTATGGAACATCGAAGAAGATAAATTTACCGTGTATTAAATGTTAAAAAATCCTAAATAAGTCAGTAAAGTAACTGCGTAGAATACTGAGATTAATATCAGTAAGGTCATTTCTTTTTAGCCACTATATATAGACTGGTACTAGAATCTTCCTTGCCTCCTGTCTGATGGGTATCAGGAGCTCTTTTCATGGGAGTAAAGCGGTCGAAACGTGAAGCTGATCGTTCACCTCCATCTCATCTCGAGGTCAACAATATGTGATGTTTTACATATATGCCCTTCGTGTTTGGATACTGCTGTGTTTTGGTATGGGGTAACTTCACTATTTTACATTTTCCAACACAATTGTACTTGAATTTCACAATGACTGTAATATCAAGTACCGTATTGTGTTTGGGAGCTCATAAAAATATTCTGATACCACAGCAACACCATGTTTCCACAAGATATAGTAATAAACATCTGGATCTCTTAAAAATATGCAGATACATCAATGCGATTCACCCTAAAATACAATAATAAACATGGCACTAATTTAATGTACAGGTATTTTCAATTTAGTGTTGAAAACTGCAGAGTCATTGCACCTAAACATGTGACATTTGGAATTGTGAGAGATTACAAATAAACATGTCCACAGAACCTGACAGGTATATATGCATGTTTAAGAAAAATATAAACACTCGCTGAAGCTGCTTTTCAATGAAGTTCCCTTTTACCTATTCCTTGTCCTTGAATCGCTTTGGTGTGGGTGACACCAGGCAGGAACTCCAATTAGAACAGTTCAGGTGTTCAAGGTATCCAGACCTCCCCACCATGTTACCAATGTAGTCCAAAGGGAGGTTATTACACTAATATTACAGGTACTACAAGAAGTCACAACGCCTCCATTAAAGTAATTTTCTCTATTCTTGGATTAGTCCAATTGATGAATGGTAAAATTAACTAAGATACTGTCACATGTTTATGGCTCCTTGACCAGTAATAACGGATTCTGGATTGGATGATTAGATTTATTAACCCCTTCTGTCACCATCTCTCTTAATCACAAGCTGTTATAGCCCTATCGCTAATCTACTCACTTCACAAATCACAAATTTTCTCAGTCTTCACTAGCTGTATCCTGACAACGGATTTATAACAGTCTCACTGTAACTACAACACACATAAAGTCTTATTTTTGCTCAAAGTCAAAATTACATTGCAACTAATGGTCAGTCAGTCAGTCAGTCTTGGTGTTGAGCCCCATCTGGTGCTCATGACCAGATATTTATTACTGTTTGACAGTTACAGTCTTGTTAGTCTGGGTTGCCCTCATGTTTAAATAGATAACATAAGCAGGTAAGAGTAGAAATTGAAATGGTCTGCACCAAGTAGGTTGGAATAGTAGCAGTGCTGTCGGGNGGGGGTTACTTGGTCTGAATCTTGGCTGGGGCACCAGCTATCTTGAGTGAGGTGTTTCATCACTTTCCTGAGTTCCTCCAAACAAATGCCTGAATAATTCTACAAATAGGCCACTACTGCTTCCTTCCAAATGCTTTCCAGTTCATTTTTCACCAGTCATTCTATCATTCAGTGCTCTATAATCTGAGATACTGATATTGTTGTAGAATAAACCACAGATAAGAAAATGGTTCTCTAAACTAGGAAGGGTTTTTCAGGTCATCCATAGAATTTAGAAGGCTGGAAATGATGGTGTAGACTGGTGTTTCCCAGTGTGTGGTCTGTGAGCCCTCCAGTACTAAGGGCTCATCAAACGTGTTTAGGAATTCTGGAGCTGATATACATAGTGGAAAAATATATGGGGACACTTACAGCAGCTTTATTCTTGTGAAATTATAGATTTCATTTGGATTCATATTTAATTAAACTAATAACCCGGCAGTAATATTAAAAACATTTTATTGTGCATTAATTTTACACCACACTATGTAAATAACTCATAAAAAGGAAATGAAAATACATATGTCATATGTTTATTTCAGTCTTTGGTTTTAGATTTCAGTTGATGAGAGGAAGAGAGCTGAAATGGCTTATGATGACATTTTGCCATATTTGGGGGAATTTGGACGTTACCAGAAGAGGATTTACCTTCTGCTCTGTCTTCCTGCCATTCTGTGTGCTCTGCATAAGTTAGCTGGAGTGTTCTTGCAAGCCAACATTAAACACAGGTAAACATATAGTTCCAGGTGAAGTGTTTAAATCTGAGAGATAGAAGCAACCTCTGGTAAGTCAAATTAGAAAGAGTCCTAACCAACTACTAGGGTTAAAAATCATACAGCTTAAACAGAAATAAGTTACAGTGACTCTCATCCATTGTGGGGAGTGAGTTCCTCAAGAATGGTGTGTTAGGGTAAATCCATGTTAAAAAAGCTTAATACCTTGTGGGTTGAATGGGGATATGTGTATGCAGCCACATGGCTTACAATAATATCTAAAAACATAGATTTTTTACACGCACACTAACACAAAACACAAAATGAATAGATCCACCTATACTATTATTATTGTTATTATTATTATTATTATTATCATCATCTCTTGTCACAGGTTTATTTCCTGGTATTCCTTTTCTTGAACCAGTGATGCACCTCACCACTCAGGCTTCAAGCTTCACAATGTAGCACTTTCCATAGTATGTGTGATGTTCCCAGGATAGCTGTTTTTTGCAGCGAATCTATGGAGTGCTTTCCAGGAATTAGTTCCAAATATTTTCTCAACCCT